GAGAGAGAGAGAGTGTGAGAGAGAGAGAGAGCGAGAGGGAGAGTGAGAGAGAGAGAGAGAGTGAGAGAGGTGCTCCCAGCTACGAGCCCAGCGTCCAAGGACACACCAAACGAGAAAAGGAATGAGACGATGGTGTTCCCAGCTACCACTCAAGCGTCCAAGGACACACCCGTCAAGAAAAGGAGAGAGAGAGAGAGCGAGAGAGAGAGAGAGAGGTGCTCCCAGCTACGAAACAAGCGTCCAGGGACACACCAAAGGAGCGGGGAGCGGAGAAGGAGGAATCAACTGAGATACTAAGGCTCCAACAGGTCCCAATGGACCTTAAACTTGCTTTGACCGCTGTGGTCACCTTGTGCCCTGCCGAAATGGCTGGCTGCTTTGACCGCTGCGGTCACGTACAGGCATAAGCCAACTTGGAATTCCAAAGATGAGACAAACATCCCACTTCTTGAGGCATAAGCCATCTACTGTCCGCTGCGGACATCTGCGTATGGACAAACCCCCGTTCAACGGGTCCACGGGAGGCACTCTGCGGGCTCATCCCGGGTTGGCACGAGGCCAAACACACTTGTGGATATGCATACGGAACTGATAGCGGTGCCACACGCCAGCCTAAGTAAAAAGCCTAAGGAAAACAGGGTGGGTAAAATGAAGCGGTTCAAATCTCCACGAGGTCAAGGTCTCAGAATCTTCCAAAAGCTCCGAGGTTCCAAATTGTAACCGCGAAACAGTCGAGCGACAAGGACGACGGAACGTGCAGAGTCTGCGGATGAAGAACCGCTGCAAAGGCTGGATTCCTTGTTCTAGTTAGAAGCAGGGCCCAAGATGAAGTTTCTCAGGTAAAAACTGCAGGTACGTCACTGGACGTCTCCAGTGATATCAGTACCACCACAGAAGCCTCTTCGTTGGACTGTCACTTCTGCGGGGTAGACAGTCCCCCTGCTGTGAAACAAAACAGAAAGGCAAACCTGAAAAATCCAAAAGGATCACTATGATTCCAAGGGTTACACACACACGCACACACACACACACACACCCGCGCACACACAGAGACACACACACTGGTCGGTGACAGGCAAGACTACCCAAGACTACCCAGTTGGCACATGGCGATGGGTGCTAAACCACCTGTCACCCACCGCCCACCCGCCCGTCGCCTGCGGTTTGCGCCAAAATCCCAGCGGCAATCTTATCGCCCAGGACAGACCTGGGGGTCACCATGCTCCAGAAGGACCGTCATGAGCCTTCCCCCCGCGCTTGCCTCCCCACCCCCCACAACAAAAAGGCGAAACCTACAGGACCTACGGGATCCTACAGGACCTACATCCCAAACAATTGATGGATGGAGAAGTGTTCCCCTTTTGCAAAAAGGCACCAAGTTGCGTCCCTGAATGATGTTGTTTGGTGTTTGCGGAAGAACAACGGCTGCGTATACATGGATTTTGCTGCGCAGTGTGGGCGTGGGCCACGTTTGGCATCGCTTCGGGTGCCGTTGTTGCGCTTTGATAGGCTCAGGGCGTTACTCTTGGCATTGGGGGAAGCGTCGTCACCTGCTGCGTTTGGCATGTTTCATTCTCTCTGAAACCCGACAAGTGCCGCACGACACAACGGCTCTCCGCCTACCCAGCGTGGCCACTGTTGCCTCCCTGCCAGCCGAAGAGTGTGGTATTCCCTCCCAAGAGCCGAACGATGCCTGTCTTCCGATGTCACCGTGAGAATCCTTCGGACGCCGCGCGGGAGTTCAAACCGATGAGGTGGCCATCTTGGCCTGACGAAATCCAAGCGCTGTGGCCACCAGCGTCCAACCTCCGACTCGGCCGAATGGTCGAGGTCGAGCGGTGCTCGCGTTCTTCAGTCGGCCCAAAAAGGAGAGTCGAGCGGCTCTCGGCATCGGTCTGGGAAGAACTTATATACATATGCCAAGCACGACCTGTCTGGGACGGCGCCATATTTGCCGAGAAAAGGGGCGGTTCATGACAGATGATTACAGGGGTCAATTAGGTGGTATAGGTTCCAGTCCCATGGAGTGTTTGGGTATGCCATCATATGCCCTGCTCAACCACAGGAAGACCCAGGGGACTGGAAGAGATGATATGCCCCAGACCTGAAATCAACCACCGAAAGCGAGGGTCCCATGAGCGCCAGGGCCCCATGACCCATGAGTGCCTGAGACCTCTTGATGAGTACCTGGGACCGGCGGAGAATTGAAAAAACTGCCTGTTGCAGCAAGGAATGGGCTTGTAAGATCTTGTAAGGTGTGGTCGGAAAGCACCAGAGTATCACCACATGCCTTGCAAGGGTGTGCAAAGGACCTGCTTGGTTTCTGCCTTCCAGGAGTTTCAACGAGTGCACCACATGGAATGCACCTGGTCGCCACTGTCGCCTGAGAACTGCCAAGCCCAAATGCCTGGCTGTCGGCTGGGCTGCACAGTACCACCAAAGCCAACGGAACCACAGTGTGACGGCTCACCCAATCAAAAGCATCCACGGGCCCAAGTTCTGCTCTCAAGGAGCTTCATACCTCCCTCTCGAAAGCTTTCGAAAGGACGGGATGGCAAACTTCCCCGCCCTTGGCAAACTGCGCGAGAGGTCTCGTCTCTGCGGAACCGCTTGGCTCGACAGCTCCGCTCGGATCGATAGACTGGGGGCCCAGTCTAGGCAGGGCCCAGTCTGGAATGGACAGCAAGAAGATTTGAAGAACTGGACACCAAAGACATCTCAAAACAGGCATCAAAGACATCTCGACGGTCCGTTTCAGACCACGAATAACTACCTGGATGACACGTCAAAGTCCTGCGTGCCAAGAGAGGTTACGCGACTTTATAGGACTCGTTACCTGGCGTACCTATAGATCCTATAGGATAGTCATGGGTAGTCTACATAGAGTCCTTCAACCTCTGTTGGTATGGACAGTGACTACTCAAACTGCCCGGGAGTCAGGTTTCTGGTTTCGCCTCGTATGCTCAGGCCAGGCGGCATCACAGGCGAGCAGGGGCCAATGAAGGTGATGTTCAATTCCTGGAGCTGAAGGATGATCGTCGTGTGAAGGTGGGGATTAGACCCTGTAAGCCTATAATGCAGATCTGTTTATTCATAAATCCATCCATTGCCTGGATGGTCAAACATCCTCGGGTTTTGTTCATCAACAGTCTGAGTCAATTGAGTGAGCGGAGAATGGGCACACCAAATCCGACCCTCAATCGGCGACTTTAGGTGCACTGTTTCGGCCATTGGAGGTGACCCTCTGAAGAATGTCAGAATCCAAAAGCGCGAACGTTGAACAAGGGGAAGAACATAGCACAAACAAATGGTCGACCTGTCTTGGAAGAAGTGGGCAGGGTCGACCGGGCGTTCTCATTGCATGTTACAACGTGGCGTTCTCATCCTCCACATGTATCAAACAAGGTGATGTCCCCGACCCCAGCTTCAAGGGTGGCACTTGTTTAATGTGTTGTATAACTCTTTACACTGTACACTACATAGTTCATCTACTCAGTGAACCTTTCCGCCAACACGAATCTGTCACTTGGAAAAAAGAACCGTCAGCCTATCACTACACAAACCCAGAATCTAGGTCTCTTGACCCTTCTTGACCCCCCAAAAGCGACGAAATCCTCGAATTCCATTCACATCGTCTCCTTGAGCTTCGCCGGAAGCCGCGGGTTCTCCGAGGCATGACCCCAGCCTGCGGGCTGAACTAGAGACCGGGAGAGGGACCGGAAGACACGCCGGGCAGCGACAGGCGGGGCGGGACCGGGACTTGGTGGCCGAACTGAAGCTGCCCCCATTGGAAAAGCTTAATGTTGACCTTTTTGATGAATCAACGCCCCTAGAAAAAAGGCCTTCTTTTTTTTCATGCACAGATGAATAAAGGCACCCAGAATGATGTCTTTTTGGGGGGAGGGGTAGTTGTAGTGTTATTGTTATGAATTAATATTGCCCCTTTCATAAATTTGAGGCTTCAAACATATTTGGGTTGCAGCTTTAAAGGAACTTATCTTTATTCCTTTTCTTTGCCTTTTGATTTGCTTTACTTACCCTCTATTCCTTCACTTTCCCTAAGCTCTTGAATCTTGAAGCTTTCCAAAAACTTCAAAAAGTCTGTGCGCACTTTCTTTTCAAAAACCCTTATTCAAAAGCATTGAAAACACAACAAAAAAAACATTCAAGCAAAGGGGGTAGTCCAGCAAGCAGCTTTCTGACATTATTTTTTGGGGGGCACCTAGAATAATGTCTAGAGATTTGAGGCTTCAACAATATTTGGGTTGCAGCTTTAAAGGAACTTATCTTTATTCCTTCTCTTTGCCTTTTGATTTGCTTTACTTACCCTCTAGTTCCATTGAGATTGAATGATTTTGCAGGTCTTTGGATTCAGATTTCCATTGAAATGTTGAAGAGTTCCATTGATATTTAATGAGTTTGCAGCTCTTTGGATTCAGAAGTCCTTTGAAACTTTGAAGAGTTCCATTGAGATTGAATGACTTTGCAGGTCTTTGGATTCAGATTTCCATTGACATTTAAAGAGTTACGTTCAATTTCCATTGATTCCCTTTTATGGTATTATTCCAGATGTCTTCAATCTGAGGTTTCATTGATCCCTTTTCATGTTAAAATTCCAAATCTCTTCAAAGTTAGGTTTCTTGATTCCTTTCATGTTAGTATTGCCAGAGTAGCTCCAGAGGTAGCTAAGTAAGGATTCTGAATTTATTTCTCAATTGATTGGTTTTCTCGGAGGCCTTGGTTGTTGAGGGGGGGAGGGGGGTTGATTAATCAAGAGTCAACATTAGACACATTGTGAAACAGCCAGCGGGATCGTTTTGTTAATTTTAATATCATTCGAAGATTTGGATGATGGTGTGCTTGCAACGATGAGGGAAACCCAATCGAAGGAATACGAAGGAAAGAGTTCGTCATATACAGTATGTTATACGACTGTGCCTGTTTACTAAATCTTTTAGTTATAAGGTCATAGATAGCTTGAACCACGTGCAGGTCACTTGAGATAGAATGAGATAGGAAATACCACCGCCAGTACTGCTTCTATGGCATATATTGCCAAGATGAGTGACCAGTTCTCAATCACATACACGCCCAAATATGCCTCCAGTAATCTCACTCCTCCTGTGGGATCCACTAAATATGACTGCATGTGCACCAAGCAAGTATTCTGATCTCTTGCTTCATGAAATGATGAGTGGAGAGTCTTCCAAAAGGACTTGGAGCCCACACATGTCGAACAGAAACACCATCATTCTTCGAACCTTCACTCTTCTGCTTTCTTCTGCTTGGTGGCTTGCTACCAACGTCACCACTTTTGGGAGCCCTGTTCGTCCACGTCCTTCGCCACCGGTTCACCTCCTTCGCCACCGCACCGGTTCCCTCCGCCACTGCTTCGACCGTCCACGTCGCGACTGGTTCGCCTGGCCAAACGGCATCGACCTGTTCACTGCGCGCAATCTGACAAATGAGGTCCACATTGGCGTAATTGTTCACCTGAGGATGATATAAGCGCAGCCGAGGGGTGTGTGAAAGAAACCGACCGCCGGTGGTTGAACACGGGTAGGATACATACTGTATATACAATATCATTGGAGTCGTTGGTTGGTGAGGGTTTAAAGCGAAACAACATGCAGTACAAGAATTCAAGAGAAACTGACTTCTTGGATGTCAATATCAGAGACCACATTTACAGGCCAATAACCTCAAATAGCCTAAACTAAAACTAAATCAAACAGTCGCGAGAAAGGCCAGGCAAGCAGCACGTACACAGCATGAGGGGTTGAAAAGGAATGGGTCAAAATGAATGTGATCTATTTCAACACCCCTTTACAGATTTCATCTTCCATGGCATGCATTACAGTGCCTTATTTGCCCCCCTTCCACCAAGAACAACCCCTATGCCTATACTCTATCTCACCTCTTGGTGTGTTTTCTCTTGTAACATTTTCTTTGCACCTTTTTGCAGCTCAGGGTCATTCTTCCCAGAAGGCACCTCAACATACTTGTCTGCTAATCGGATGAAGTCCGCATTGGAATCCTTGGCAAAATAGCAAGTTCAGCACCTAAAGACCATTGAAAGATTATTGGATCCTTGATTTAGCTTCTGGAAAGTCTTCATGATTCATCAGCAAAACATCTCAGTCCTCCTATGTTCACAGGATTGAAAACCCGCGGCTCTACCTGAGGTATGAGCGCTCCTTTCATTCTGTCGTTCTTTAGAAACCATCCAGCTGAGCGGCCAAATCGAGCATTTCATCCGGATTCAGTTCTCACATTAGCTGACCTCTAGATTCTAGATTTCCTTGCTTTCTAATACCCCACTGAAAACTAACACAGACCCTGAAAACCACTGGTTTGTAGAGGAAAACAGTCTTTGAGGCCGTTCTCAGGGTCCATGTCAGTTTTCGGGAGTGTAATATTCATAATGTGTCTTCAAGAAACCTGCCAACCAATCTGTGTTTGGTCACTCTGAATCATTGATCTTGGCACCCGTCAGTGACGGGGTTTAGTGACGTGGTTAAGGAGTTCAACATCGAGTGAATGGCGGTCGGACATTTCCAGAATGATACACCCGAGCGATGGAAACAGCTTGGTGCCAGGGGGGTCAATGGGGTGGAATCTATGGCAGTCCCATGGGTCGCGTCTGGGACATGGACCTGGTGCGCCGCAACGCTCACGAGACAAACGAAAGCGGCGAGGAATTTTTTTTTGTAGAGGAACATCATCATCCTTGCAGGTCCATGCTTTGGCTGGGGACTGCAAAACCCGGATGATCCACCCTTCGTCGTTCGAAGCACCAAAGCCTGATCTCCAGTGATGAAAAAAGACTCCCGTCCCCTGTCTATGGAAAACAAATCAGAAACAAGTTGAAAGCAGTCTGCCAAGAAAACAACTGCACACGATGCAGTAGAACTTGAGGCCAAGGGGGGGGGCGAAAGCTAGCGCTCCAGAATGGGAAAGTGGAGGGCAGCGAGGTAGGAAAAAACACGGCGCTCTTTTTTGGAGGCAGGGGTGAAGAGTCCTTTATATGTGGCTCTTTGCCCGGATCCTCCTGCGAGAGAAGAGAGAGAAGAGAGACGGAAAGACGAGAGACAGAGAGGAGAGAGAGAGAGAGAGGAGAGAGGAGAGAGAGATGAGAGAGATGAGAAAGAGATGAAAGAGATGAGAGAGATGAGAGAGACAGTGAGACAGTGAGACAGTGAGAGAGTGAGAGTGAGAGTGAGCGAGTGCGGCCGCAAGATACGCAACGCTAACCGCATGCCAAAGAGCGACGACAGGACGGAGTCGAACTTGCGAAGAGGGAGGAGGGAGGAGGGAGGGAGGGAAGATGGGAGGAA